CCCTCGCTCGATGCCTTCTGGATGTCTTGGTTATCGGGCGATCTCTGCACCAGCCATTAGAAGAATTTGCCTATATATAGATGTGTGTATGTGTGCGTGAGAGTGTGACTATATATATATGTATATATATTTATATCATAGTATACACACACACACACACACACACACACACACGCGCGCGCGCACGCGCGCGCGCGCAACACGCAAGCGTGCACACACACATACATGCATATATATGTGTGTGTATATATATGTATATATATATATATATATATATATATATATATATATATATATATATATCACAGTATACACAAATGTTTGTGTATATATGTATATATATGTATATATATATATATATATATATATATATATATATATATATATATATATATATGTGTGTGTGTGTGTGTGTGTGTGTGTGTGTGTGTGTGTGTGTGTGTGTGTATGTGTGTGTGTGTCTATTTGTGTGTGTGTGTGAATATGAATATGTATATTTACACACACACCCACACCCACACCACACACACACACACACACACACACACACACACACACACACACACACACACATATATATATATATATATACATATACACGCACATACACACAAACACACACTCACACACACACACACACACACACACACACACACACACACACACACATGAATATATATATATATATATATATATATATATATATATATATATATATATATATGAATATATATGTATGTATATGTGTATATTTATATGTTTATACATATATGCATATATATATGAATATATATATATATATATATATATATATATATATATATATATATATATATATATATATATATGTGTGTGTGTGTGTGTGTGTGTGTGTGTGTGTGTGTGTGTGTGTGTGTGTGTATACATATATATATATATATATATATATATATATATATATATATATATATATATATATATATATTCTGCATTTATATATTTATACACACACACACGCACACACACATTCCTGAACGAAGAGAACCTTAATATGCAATATTCTATATTTTGCCAAGTCTATTATAAACAAGGAGTAGAAAAAATGTATCAAAATTCAAAACTGAAGCAAGAAATGGCCAAATGTGGTTCAATAAAAAATGCAAGAAAATGAGAGAAAACAAACAGTTCCTTTGGAGAAAGTTCAGAGGACATAGATCCCAGGCAGCGTATGAAAGGTATAAAGTTGGAAGAAATGAATATACCTAAACCATGAGGGAGGCAAAATTAGACTTTGAAAAGGATATAATCAATATATGTACAAACCAACCAAAGCCCTTCTATAACTACATAAATAGTAAGACTAAAAGTAGAGATCAAATTAGCGCCATCAGAGACAATAACATCGTTTATACTAAGGAAGAGGAAATGAGTGAAATCCTTGATGAAAAATTACAGTCAGTGTTTGTTCAGGAACCATACTTTGAAATACCATGTAACCGTACAAACGTAAATCAGAATATCGGAAATGTCACACTCGAAAAGAATGAAATAAAAGACCTACTGAAAGGGAAAGACAAGATTAAAGCAGAGGGACCAGATGAGATATCTAACTGGATTCTGAGGGAATTAAGTACTTCCGAAGAATTAAGTACTTCGTTATTGCTAATATTCTAAAATTCAGTGCGACAAGGAAAACTACCAAAAGATTGGAAATTTACCAGTGTTACACTATACAAGAACGGCGACAAACAAAACCCTCTAAATTAGATATCAGTTTCGTTAATTAGTGTAGTTTGCAAGCTGTTAGACGGGATGATTAGGAAGCTGTTTGAAAGTACTTTATGTTATTAAATATACAGTTTTGTTTTAAGGAAAGGAAGGTCATGCGTAGCAAATCTCTGTTTCTATGATAAGAGTTTCTAAAATATTACAAAGAGACGGGTAGATTTACGAAGGCATTTGATAAGGTGTCTCATAAAAGACTATTATGTAAATTAGACACTTAGGTGGAGTGAAAAGCAAACTCCTCGAATGGATGGAAGACTCTTCGTGAAAGACAGATGAAGACAGTAATTATAGAGAAGCACTGTACATGGCGACGAATAACTAGCGGAGTACCTCAAGGATCGGTCTTGGTGCCGATTATGTTTACTATTTTCATAAATGATTTAGGTTCAAATATAAGCCCAGGTAGTTATCTGAATATGTTTGCAGACGACGAGAAATTGCAAAAAAAAGGACAATTGACGATATCTCCTGCCAATGTCTCCAGAGTGACATCGAGAACTTATTCATTTGGAGTTGCATATAGGAAATGAAATTTAACACCAATAAATGCCATGTAGTCAGGTTCGGAAAAAGTAAAAATCGTCCACTATATCAATTTAGGAGACGTAATATTAAACCAAGCAAATAAAGAAAAAGACCTTGGAATAATCATAAACAGGAACCTAAGCCCAAATGATTATATAAATGACAAGGTTCATAAAATTTTAGGGCTGATTGCCGACATAAAGAGGGCATTCATGTATGTGGACGAAGACATGGCAAAGAAGGTCATTACAGCCATCATAAGACCTAGTCTAGCGTATGGTTACAGAGGTATGGAGTCCACAATTGAAAAAGGATATAGATAAACTAGAAAGAGTGCAAAGAGCAGCCACTAGATGGGCACCTACTATAAGAGATATGAG